GCAAGCTGGGGAAAGCCTTGCCCTGTGACCTTAGCTCCAGGGGCCTCCGGAGGGCTCACCCTGGGCTCTGATGAGGATGTAGGTGCTTCCCTGAATAACACATGACCTAAAGGAACAAAGTACACACGCAGGCTCTACAATGTCTCTGCAGCAGGTGGCCCCATCCAAGAGAGGAATCTACCTGATAGGAACAGGCTTAAACTCCCCCCAAAGGTCTGAACCAATCACTGTGAGGGCCATCATCAGGCATTCTCCTGATACTACCAAGAACAGCGGATAAAGAATGGGGCTTCAGGCTGGGACACCATTCAGTGGGTGATGCACTAGCCACACAAGTCTGACAGTGTGAGTTCAGGTCTCAGGTCCCACAGGAAAGCCAGATACAGTGGCTTAAACCATGCATAATCCCAGTTTGCATAAACTGCTAGGGGTGGATTGTACCTGGAGGTGGGGGAGAACATGGCTGCATTTTAATCAAATAAGAACTTAATAGGAGAGTTTTCAACTGTCTATTTCTAACTAACTAAACTCGGCACTCAGCACACTTCCAACACCATGACGATCCAATGACAATACAAAGACAGGTGGTCCAGGCAGGTGCCAGGCACGGCAGAAGTGGACAAAGACTAGGGTAGTCAAGTTAGTTCTCATGTAGGCAGAGCAGGATCATAACTACTTCACAGGAAAAGCATGTTTAATGCCTGTGACCACCCACACTGGTCCAAGCAGGCCCAGCTCAGCGTCAAGATGGTCAAACTATAGATGCATCCAACAAGATGACGTTTGTAACTCTCTTACAGCACCTTCAAGTGCTGCCAGTCACTCATTTAAACAATGTCCTTCTAACCTACTGACTTGAAGTCTATCTCCAAAGTGTTGGTTTTCTGAACTCCTGACTGTGCTTATATGCATAAATGTTGGGGTTTCATATACTTAATTATATGCCCTGTACCTCTCTTTATTAAAAATATAAATTTTTGCAATCTTCAAATACAGTTTCTACCTGTGCCGAGTCGTTTTTCAGCAACTCTAGTTCAGTAGCTATCCATCACTCTCATTCTCAGTGTCACACTGATACATGTGCCAGAGTTGATGGCCGCCGGGCCCAGCTCATGTTCAGAATGAGCAAGACAGCCCCCTACAGGCAGATCCAGAAAACAGCACCCACATAAACTCCTGGATGTCAAAACTGCTATTCAAGTAAAATTACAGCACACATGGTTATTTCATGGAATTAGCAGAGATCTGAATGTCATTTTCAACACAGCTGTATCAGGCTGGCTCTTGTTAAAAGAATTTCATTCTCTGCATTATTGATTTCTGAAAACTTGCTCCAACAGTTACTTGTACCTAGACATTTCATCCATGTCTTATGGGAATATAAAATACTTTATTTAAAGACTTGCAACCTTAATAGCAAGATAGGCAAGCATGTTCCTAAGCTCTCTGAATATCTGAAGGAAAGAGAGCAAAAAGGGGACACCATGCATATCCCAGCATTCCAACATTTCTTATCAAAAACAGCTGGTCCAAAAGCCTCAGGAGACCTCAAACAGGGTGAGAGTAGTAATCACATGATATGGCCAAGTGACTGGCCTGTCTCCTCCAGGAATAGCCAAGACCCCATCACTCAGTGCTAATGTTACACACTGGATGCTACTATGATCAGAAAGCCTGGGCATCCAGGTGGGAAGACACTGTCCTTGGAATCACGGGAAGTGATGTCAGCAGATCCACAAGACTGCAACACTGTTACGATCCCACAGTAACAGTGACACAAATCTCTTCCTTTCTTACTAAGTTGCAACCTCATCTCTGTTCCCATAGTTAAGCTCAAATACAACATGTTTATAGGATAATGTGAAAAAATACATATATCTTTACCTATAGACAGACAGACAGACAGACAGACAGGCAGGCAGGCAGGCAGGCAGGCAGGCAGACAGACGGTAGCTATTTTTCTTTAGTAAGATATTTGGTTGCCTATGAGTCTCAGTGGTAGTGCTTGCCTGACATACACAAACCCTTGGGGTTCCATACCCAGTAACACACAAACTGCTGTGGTGGTCCATGCCCTCCCAGCACTGGGCAGATGAAGACAAGAGAATTAAGAGCTCAGATTCTTTCTCTTTTACATGGTGAGTTCAGGGTCAGCATGAGATACTGTCTCATTTTCCTAGAGAAAATTCTCAACATCTTGTATAAAGGAAGCAGTGATCTCTGATACTTCATAAAAATGTTTTTAAGTGGAGCTCCAGAGGAGGCTCAGCCCTTAAGAGCACATGCTATTCATAACAAAGGACAAGAGCTAGACCCTTAGCATCCTAAAAGTTCCTGGCCACTTAAAACTCTAACACTTCTCTTGGACACCGTGGGCATGGTGTACATACAGACAAGCAGGCACACATTGATAATGTCTTAAGTATTTAAAAAAAAGAAAAGAAAAAAAACATTTTTAAAGCAAAGCTCATCTTGGCTCTGAAGGGGCCACAGCCACTTCCTCCCAGAGAATGGGGGCTAGATTCAGAAGCTTCCATGTCTGCTGGATCTGGTGATGAAAGCCTATAACCTCAACTACTCAGGAGGCTAAGGAGTTTAAGGCCAGCTCGGGTACAGAGTGAGTTCAAGGCTTGCCTCCACACCTCAGCAAGACCTTGTCTCAAAAAGTAAAGACGTTGGCAATGTCACTCACTGGGAGAGTGCTCACCTCACACACAAGGCCATAGGTTCTATCCCTATTACTATAAAAACAATTCTTTTCCAAAGAGTGGAAAAAAGATACAGTGCTTCCCTAATATTTTACCCAAGATGCACATAATGAAACAGTCAGACCAAAACACCAGCAGTAAAATACATGGGCATACAAAATAAAAAAGAGGGGGGCTAAAATTCAAAAAGGTCAACTGGGGGCTACTACATCTTACCAGACTTTGTACTTCGAGAAATGCAGAAGGGCTTCAACTGAGCCCCGAGTGAGGAAACATAGCCTGTTTTCTGCTCCCAGGGCCTCTTCCTTGCTGCAGACCTAACAGTTCTGTGATGGGCTCCTCTGACAGTGAGCGCCCAACTTCAAATAAGAGCAACGGTGTCCACCAGCTGCGAGACCACAGGGCACCCTGGATGTGTCCACTCACAGGGTCCGCCCCTCAAGCATCGCCTTTTCCTCACGGAAACTTGTGGGCAAAGTAACAAAGGCAGCACCAAAATGCTTAAAACTGATTTTTAAAATGGGAAAATCATGAAAATGTCAAGTCAGGGATCTGGAAACATTTTCATGGCTGTTATTTGAGAAGAAATCTGTTCCAATTAATAGTCTCTAAGGCCACGGGTTACCAGAATCCGAGGAGATTAATTATAACTACACAAAGATGCCTGCCATTAAAAGTGTGTGTACATGAGCGTGCATATTTCGTGAGTGTGTGTGTATGTGTGTGTTTGTGTGTGTGTGTGTAAAAACAAGCTCATGGCATATGTGGTACATGCTAAATATGTGAGTATGTATGACTGTACATCAACAAGTGTTATGTGTTTATCATCCCCACATGTCATGTGTTCATGCATGTGTTGTGATGCGTGCATAAGCAAGTATACATGTATATTTTTGTGTCTGTGCTTCCCTGTATTTGTATGCACAGGCATGCTTATGTATATGTATGTGGGTTTTTTTTTTTTTTGGTTTTACAAGACAGGGTTTCTCTGTATTGTTTTGGAGGCTGTTGGACCAGCCTGGCCTCAAACTCACAGAGATCCGCCTGCCTGTGCCTCCCAAGTGCTGGGATTAAAGGTATGTGCCACCACCGCCCGGCATATGTATGTGTTTTTACATGTGTTGCCTGGGGTGTCTATGTATAGCTTTTCCATGCTCGGATGTTACATACACGTTCATGTTTGTGTATATTAATATGTGCTTGTTTGTGCAGAGTAAGTGTATATTTGTGGATGTATGTTATGTCTGAACACACGTATCCATGCATATATGTATATATATATATATGCATGTTTGTGTGTTTGTGTTTGCTGTGTCTGTCTTAGTCACTGTTCTACTGTGTGAAGAGACACCATGACCACAGACACTCTTATAAAAGAAAGCATTTGACTGGAGGCTTGCTTACAATTGAGAGGGTTCGTCTATTACATCATAACAGCGAGCATGGTGACATCCAGGTAAGCATTCCACTGGAGTGGAGAGTTTTATGTCCTCATCCACAGGCAGAAGACAGAAAAAGAGAGAAACACTGGGCCTGGCGTGAGCTTCTGAAACCTCAAAGCCTACCCCAGTGACACACCTCCTACAAGGCCACACCCACTCCAATAAGACCACCCCTTGTAATCCTTTTCAAATAGTGCCACACTCCCTGATGACTTAGCATTCAAATATATGAGCCTATGGGAGCCACACTACCTATGGCATGTTTCCATGAATGTGTGTGCTGTGTATGTATATGATGTATACACATGTGTAGGTGTAGGTGCATGTTTTGTATACACATGTGTGCTTGTGCTTGTTTGTATATGAACAAGTATGTGTATGGGTGTTTATATGTGGTGTCTGTGTGTATGTGGAGCGTGCACACACGTGTGCATATTTGTGTCATATAGCAAGAACCCTGTTCTGACAGAAGCGGAGAAGAGAAAACCGTTTCAGAGGAGCCTAGGAATCACTCCTCAGAGACTTCAGACACCCAGAAGAGACCAGAGACTCAAGAAACCAAACGTTCATTAGTGCAGCATTAGTAAGTCAGGAGCAAAAGGAGACGAGAGGAGCTGACAGCATCGCTTACACTGTGCCAACTCCATGACCACTAAGTGCAGGATGCCCGAATTCATGGCCACTTGGACACTGGACTCTGAGCTGGAACCAGAGGTAGGGTACCAGGCCATTAAAGCATAGGCACACCTGAGGATGCAAGTCCCTCCAGCAAGACGGCCTTGCCGCAAGGCCAGCTGAGTGAAGGGTTGCATGAGCTATTGAACCTGATCCACCCAGGAACCCTGCTCACCTGATGCGGGTTCAGACACAGCCTCTTCACCACTGTCATCCACCACCTCTTCGGCCAGGCCAGAGCCTGGGGAGTCAGCGATGGCGCAGGCTGAGCCAGGGCTGCTTGGTTGGGAAGCTGAATCACCCTCGCTGAGTGAACCGCAGCGGGCACGCACTGCCCTGTCCCCTTCAGGATCCCTGTCACGGCGTGCACGGCGGTGCACACGGGAGTGGAGCACCATCTGGTGGTAGGTGCGGAAGATCTTGCCGCACTCGAAGCACTCAGAGGACTTGCCCTGGCCAGTAGTGGCCGCAGCCCGGCGGTTGGGCCGTGAGGCTGGCCGGGGGTCAAGGTGTCCAGGAAGCATGGGGTCCCCAGGTACACTGGCCCTCTTCCTGGGGGGGCCCTGGGTAGAAGGGGCATCCTGTTCACGCTTTCGTTTCTCCTGGTTCACCAGTATATACTCACGCTTGTCCTTGTCAAAGGCCACATCCCCGGACAGAGCTTCATCCCAGGTCCCATACTTGAGGTACTCGGCTGGCTCCGCCACCTTGCCCCTGGTGGCTAGCTGCCAGGCCTGATAGCTGTTGACGGGATCCAACTCAGCCACCCGCCGTCCAGCCTGCCCACTGGGGGACATGTCACCAGCCACATATGGTGTCAGGTTCAGGCACTGTAAAAAGAACTGCTTGGTGTCCAGGGGGCCCTCTGTGTCCCCCTCCTCAGCCGGGGCTCGTGTCCGGCTGGCTTCCACTTTGCGGTGTATGGCATTATGGGCATTCAAGCTGTCCAGGTTTGTAAACAGGTTCCCGCACTTTGTGCAGACCTCGTAGAGGGACAGGCCGGCGACGATGACCTCCTCCTGCACCACATTGTTAATGGTGGCAATGGGGTCCAGCTCATTCTTGGGCCTGTTCTTGTTTCCTGCCTTGGGTCCATGTGCCTTCATGTGGTTCTTGAGGAACCATGGCTCTTTGAATCTCCGGCCACAGATGTGGCAACCATGGTCAAAGGAGCCCCGGTGTTTCTTCATGTGTGCCTTCAGGAACCAGGTCTGGCTGAAAGCCTGGCCACACACCTCACATGGAAACTCGCCGGGGCTCAGCTCGGGTTTGCCGTTCTCCACACAGGCCTCGCTGCCGCCGTTGGGCACCTGCGCAGTGATGTGGTCCCTCTCGATGTGGCTCAGCAGAGATTCCTCCCGCAAGGTGACGTAGCTGCACAGCCGGCACTTAAATGGCTTGTGGGCCTGGTGCACATGCAGCTCCAGGTCCTTCTTGCGTTCAAACCGGCTCTTACAGAAGGAACACTGCACCATGGCCTCTGCGTCTTCCTGGGCAGCCCCCTCCGCCTCCTTGCGGCTGCTCCTGAGCAGGATCTTGCTGTTGTCCGTCGGCACGGCCCCGTTCAGCATGCGGTTGCAGGCTGAGGTGCTCTTGGTAGGACTGGCACACCCATCCAGGCCCTCAGACACACGCATCTCACCCAGCTGAGCTTCGCTTGCCTCTGGCTCATGCCCCTGAATCAAAGTCCCTGTACGGTGGCTTCGGATGTGAATCTTGAGGTTACCTTTCTGAGAAGCCCTGTGATCACAGTAGGGACACTTGTAGGGCTTCTCTCCCGTGTGCTTGCGCATATGCTGCGACAGTGAGCTCTGGAACGGAAAGCTCTTGCCACAGATGCAGCAGCTGTGGCACGCAGCCTTGTCCCCATCCACCTCGTGGCTCCTGCCAGCCCTGGGTGGGCTGGGTCCTCTCCTCAGCTCCATCTCAGCCTCTCTGCTGCGATCCATTTGGACAGTGATGTGGGTGTCACAGTACAGCCTTGTGTCGTGAGGGCCTAAAGGCGTGTCTTAGCTCTCCATTTTCAGAGGGGCTCTTGCTGCCCGGAGGGGAGAGAGGTATTTGTGATGAGTAGGTGCATATTCTGTGATGTAGCCGATGGCAGCAAGCACCTGTAACAGAGACACAAACCCTGTAAACACGGCATCCTATGTAATCAAGTGCACAGTGTTGACTGTGCTCAATTCTGCAAACTCCACCATGAAAATCAACCAGTCTGAATCCAGAGCTGTTTGCCCTGTGATGAAAGTTAATAGTTCATGCTAAAGTAACCAAAAGAGTACACCTTTAAAAAAAAACGATGGAAAGGTGTTTCTGCGAGCATAGAGAAACGCAGGCTTCTGCACAAGAGGATGTACGGCAACAGGGTCAAGAGAATTCCAGTAAAAGATGGAAAGCAGCCTGGCTGAATCAGGAGCCCACGGCCCCTGAGCCTCAGAGATGGATGACAGGAGCTAAAAACGCACAACTGGTCTCAACCCTGGGAGGTGAGCCCTCCACTAGGAACGGACAGTGACACAAGGCAGAAACACCAGGCTCCCAAGGCCACGGCAGCCATCTTCTGTGGCAGCTCCCCTGTACATGTGCTGGCTACAAGGACAGCCACAGACCACGCCACCACACTTATCTGGCCTAGCCTATCATTTCCTTCCACCTGACTCCTTGCTCCCAGGTATCCAAAGAACCCTAAGCTGCAGTCGCAGGACCAAGTCCAAACTCCAGGAAGGGCCCCTTCAACCAAACGGCTGTGGTCTCCTTCCTGACTCACTGTGTCCTGACTCAGATTCAAACCCTAGCCCTAACAACGACCAAAAGATGCCCAAGACTTGTTAAGTTCACACATCATGACTCCAATTCCACACCTATCCACCCACCAGTGAGTAAGAGGCAGGTTCCTTCTTGGGTCCTACCAGTTACATGACAGACACTTAACCCTGGCAGCCTACATACCTATGTCCAGTGCAGATCAGGGGACATGGTGCTGAGACATGTCTCACCCACACACTTCAGGGTTGCAGAATTTTACAGAACACAAAGTTTTCATTTTAGTCTAGCTGCACACTCACACTTATCTTAACCAAGAACACAGGGTCGCTTCCCAAAGAGCCTTAGGTAACAGCTCCTTGCCTGCTCTGGACAAACCCTGAATTATTTGCTGAGATAAAGCCAAGAAGGAGACTATTGACCAACAGAGGGAGCACGAGCTGCAGACCATTGGGTACAGCAGGCATCATCCAGGCACCCTCTCAGGAACTGGGGATTCTGAGTGCAGCATGGCCACAAATACACAAGGTAAAAATCTGAGAGTGACCTTAAGACACAGATGGAACTGAGGAGAGAACCCAGACCACCCACGGCTGGCAGGAGCCATGAGATGGACTGGGACCCGGCTGCCTGCCACAGAACAGCTGTTGTGCCTGTTGGAAGGGCTTTCCCCTCCAGAGCCTGCTGTCACAGCACATGCCCAAGCATGCAGGGTAGAAACCCCCTACAGATCTGGAAGGAACCTAAATGGACATTGGCAGACCAGGCTAGGCAGCGACCCCTACAGGTCTCTAGGACAACTAAATGGACACACACAGGCCAGGCTAGGCAGCGCCCCCTACAGATTCCCAAGCAACCTAAATGGACACAGGCAGGCCAGGCTAGGCAGTGCCCCCTACAGGTCCTCAGAACATCTAAGTGAATGTACAGAGGCCAGGCGGGACAGCCCCCTAGAAGGCGTGCCTTCCTGGTTCCTCCACAGACTACCTAGTGAGCAAAACAGCAGGGACGGTGTCCAAAGCTCACTGGCTCCAAAGTAAGGTAAAATATATGAGCTTCTCAAAGAAGGTGATCCTGACCATGTCTCAATGACAACCCAATTTAAGCAATATCATCAAGGAGTTTTATATGGCTGTACAGTTATTTACAAAGACTTAATACAAAAGACAAACAATACCTAGGAAGTACTACCTTTTCTCAGATATTACCTCCGTAACCCTAAAAATGCTAAATGGGAAACATAAAAATATTAATGGAAAAACATTTACATGTAACTTAAGGATCAAATACGTTTAGAGAATCATACAGTGATAAGTTATGGGAAAGAAGACAAAATCTTGGTGGGAATGTACCTAAAGGACTTTCAGACTCCAGTGAGCTAACACGTGTTCAACAAGGGTGCCCAGTGCAACTCAGAACCTAAGAGAATTGAACAGTCACATCCAGAGCCCTAGAAAAGACCCAGAAAAATAGCCACAGGGCACCCAGACTAAAGTGAACACCTGCAGCATGAAGGTCTGCAGGTGCAGGCATCATAGCCAGCATGCCCTCTGCAGACACCTGTGCAGCCTCGGGCACAGGTGTGTGGTGTGGACCCCCACCTCCACAGCAGCACTGCCCAGCTAGCCTTGTCCCCGCCCCCTTGCTTCTCCTGCACCTCCCACCCTTGATAATGGAAGCAAATGACACATGACAGAGCCATGTGTACCCAGAGGACCTTCAAAAAGGGCTCTGCTCGCTCACCGATACACGCCTATCTCTCCTCCTTAACGCCCCAATGCTTGGTCTGACTCCAACATCCCCACCACCCCAGTCACAGATGGACTCCTGCACTCACCAGCCCAGAGACTGGGGGGGGGGGTTAACCAGCTTCCATTTTCTACCTAGCCATCCCCAAAACTAGTTCACAGCTCTAGCCAGGGCCAGTAATGAAGGCCATCAGATACTCACTCAGGGCAGGTCCTCTGAGCCACAGGCAGCACAGCCTTCTTACTACCGCCTACCAGGCCCTCAAAAATCAGCCCGGAAGTAAAGCCAGGAGAACCACCGGGGAGAATTTCTGAGCACCAATGACACAGAAGAGAAAATAACAGCCATGCAGAAGGGCAGAGAGCACAGTGCCCACAATCAAGCCCAGACACCATTATCTGAGGAGTGATGCATGGGGACCTAGCCACTCTGACCAGAGGATGAGCTACCATTCCCCCTTTGCAGGCTGGAGACCAGTGCCTCGGCAAAACCTAATTCTACCACAGATCCTCATAGGGTCCCTCAGGGGCCAGACCAACAGATCCCTGTACTCCTTCCTCTGGCTACAGGTACAAATTGCTATTAATCAAGAGTGTCATTTGCAAAACTGACCATAGATACTAATCTCAGAACTGACGGGCTGGATGAAGCAATCACAGGACAGTCCAACCACCCATACCAACCTTCTGTCCTTAAAGCCCAAGGCCTCAGTGGCTAGGACAGTCTCCAGTGATTTTCCTACCTCAGTCTTACCTGACAGGAAGTGGCTCACACACATGTGGTAGCCTGTGACTACCAGACAGTTTAACCAGACAGTCAGCACCATCTGGATAGCCAGGGCTCTCATAGCGCATGTCAACCTGCAAGCAATCAGCCAATACACGCTAGCCTGCTACCTACACAAGGGTGACGGAGGTGTCCAGAGCCGCACAAGCATGAGGAGGAGAACAAGAGTGGTGTGTTCTGCTACCGTGAGGACACCAGGGCTCAAGTGAAACACTTTGTGGGTTTTGTATAACATACACCAATTTTTTCCCAAGGCTGAAACTCAGAATTAGACAAGGCAAGACGGTAACAAATTGTTTCGGCTATCTGGCATTTTAAAATAGATTTCCAATGTGTGCAAGTTGTCTCAGAGAATGGCTTTGCAGTGAAGGCACATGCCTTTAATCCCAGCACTTGGGAGGCAGAAGCAGGCAGATCTCTAAGTTTGAGACCAGCCTGATCTACAGAGTGGATTCCAGGACAACCAGGGCTACACAGAGAAACCCTCTCTTGAAAAACCAAAAAAAAATTTTTTAAGTTTAAAAATGTGCTTTGTATAATTTCTAAAAGTGTATTTTTTTTACAAAAGTTAGATAATCACATTTTTAATAGGGGAAAGAAAAATAACAATGTGTCTTAGATTTTAAAAATATATATACAGGAGATGGAGAGAAAGGAACTGTATGACTAAACTTTGAAAAAAAATTACATGAACAGCACAGCCCAGGCCTGACAGCACCAAACTGTGACACTGCAACAGCTTCTTCTGACCTTGGTCACCCAGGTGACATAGGTAGGTCAAGAGACTCTCCCTGGATCTGAGACCATCAGGCTGCAACACCTCACACAGAAAGCTTTTCCAGTTCTCCGTGTCACCCAGCTGCCTCAGTTAGGCGAAGACTGCCCGGGTATCACACTCCATAGACTGGAAATAGAGTTAACTTCTGGGCACCATGCCAACTACAGATGACTCCAATGACAAGCCCTACAACCCTTTAGCACAGACAAGTCGCTCCCCACTCGCCCCTGCCTGGTCATCAGCCACAGGTGGACCTGGGATTACTCCATGGACGGGGGATAAGCACTCTGAAGCAAAACCCCAGATGCCCATGGGAAAGGAAACAAGGTGCAATTGGACTACAGGCCAGTTGCAGAACAATGTGAGACACTGACTCACTCTCAGTGCCCCAAGACTGACCATGTGCCCCCCACTGCCAAGCACCCACCTCGGCAAACACAAGAAGATGCCTCACAGCACTCGGGTCCTGGCAAGCTGAGCAGGCTGGGACGGGCAGGAACTGAGCAAGGAAAGGTGACAGAGGGTGTTCCAAGATCAGCCGGTGCAGCAACCACAAACCCCCATTACACACAGCATGCTGGCCATGGGCCGGCAGGACCAAGAGATTGCTGGCCATGTGCCGGCAGGACCAAGAGATTGCTGGCCATGTGCCGGCAGGACCAAGAGATTGCTGGCCATGTGCCGGCAGGACCAAGAGATTGCTGGCCATGTGCCGGCAGGACCAAGAGATTGCTGGTCATGTGCCGGCAGGACCAAGAGATTGCTGGTCATGGGCCGGCAGGACCAAGAGATTGCTGGCCATGTGCCGGCAGGACCAAGAGATTGCTGGCCATGTGCCGGCAGGACCAAGAGATTGCTGGTCATGGGCCGGCAGGACCAAGAGATTGCTGGCCAAGTGCTGGCAGGACCAGGAGATGTTTCAAGAAGGCCCAGATGGAGAGATGCTCCATTTGTGAGAATTGACAAGCTCCTGCGAGGGAACTACATCTGGGATTCCAAACGATGTGGCTGGACTCTAAGTATCAGGACCAGTCC